CAAGTGGAGCAATGGGAACACCGAGAAGATTCCTTATAGCATCCATCATCTTTGTTTTGAAACTTTTTAACTCCAAGGGAATATCACTCAATGACATCGGGGTACCACGCACCAAATCTTGTAACGAGCAAGAAATTTCCACATTGAACGCATATAACTCAGAGTCAGAATACGATAGATCTAAAAGATGACGAAATAAGTGGAGCGTCTTCAAAATTTCATCCACATGATCATAAGCTATACAGACCTCGTCATGAAACTCAACTCTTCCATAAAAGATATTCTTCAACACACCAAGAAGTTTGTTCAAAGCATCATCCATGGTCGCAATAATTTTATCCAAAATCGAGACCATAGTTGTGATAAGACTGATCCAAAAAAAACAATGAAAAAGCAATGCACTTCAGGGAGGAACAGTACTCTTACATACGGCAAAACATGTAGACTTCAAATTGAGAATTCTTTTGGCTATTCCGCAATTGGGGCTTTATCCTGTTTGACTGTTTTTTTTTGGATCGGCAGTATATAGGGGCTTCACCCTCTCCCCAACTTTGCGAATTTGGTGAGGGACGGTGTTTCCTCGTCCAAGATTTCTTCCGGCAGCAGCAATGAGGAAAAAAAAACTGGCGGCGTAAATTGATCTATTCCGCCGTCAACAGGGCTGCAATTCTTTTTTTCTCCAACAAAAGCACCAAACAGATTTGGAACGGCCGATTGTGTTCAGCGGCAGAGGTAAAGCTCAGACCTAGCAATTCTGGTTTTCTCTCGTCGGCGTGAAAATTCGCACAAACAGATCTGGAACGGCTGGCAACAACAAATTTGTTTTTTTTTTGTTTTTTTTGGGTGTTCAAATCAATGAGAGCACCAATGATACGAACTCGTATCGGATAGGGAAGACTCAGAGCGTCTTCGAGCTCTTGAGAATATGGGACGAGGAAGAAGAAGAAGAATTGAGGCGAAGAAGGAATCGGCGAACCGAGAGGGGAGAAGGAATTAGGGTTTTGAGTTGTTTATTGATTGAATTATTCTAAAGGAGTTACATCTCTATATATAGGAGACAAAGTAACCCTAGCTAACCCTAAACCTAACCTGACGGTTCAATAAAAGCGACGAGGGAAAGAACCGTAAAGAAACCTCGAAGGAGCTTATAATTTCGCTCACCTAATAAAATCTACATTACAATAATAATAATAATAATAATAATAATAATAAT